TGTGCTTCTGGGTCCTGACCTTTCCATCCATCCATTTGCCATTTACACCAATCTTAACATTTTCATTACAGTTCTCTGCATTGGAACCCACAGTAAAAGCTGTGCTTACCCATAGCCCTGTGCGAAGAGTCAGCTGTCACCCTCCATCTCAGAACACAATACAAATGTAGGATCCTTTCCTGTTTCTATTTTAACAGAAGTTATGGCAATTGGTAGTGAATTTATGGGTATTTTCAGTAATTTGTCACCTAGGTCTCTTGCCCCCTTCACTTAAGGCCTTCCCGTTTGCAGAAGATTGAATTTCAAGGCAATTGTTTAAGTTGTGAACCTTTGGCAATGGCTAGATGATCAGTAGTGTTTAGCAGTATCTGCTGCTTGCCTTCTGCCAGTTCTCCATTTCCAGCCCAGAGGTTTTTGCTTGCTGATTCTTTTTGCCAGCTGTCAGCAACTAGGTGATGATACTCTTTCTGCTCACTGCTGCTTTTATCTCATTTTCTTGTTGCTAACTTGGGAACAACATTAAGCAGACTACAAGTATTTGCATCTGTGTCTGCATGGCTCAGGAAAAGAGAAGAAATTCCTCTTCTTCCAAGCAGATGCATAAGCAATATTTTAGGGCAGTGGATAGGCCTTGTATTTTGATGGGTACAATATTCAACTGCAAATATATCCTCATGCTGCTTCAGTCAGATTGCTTTTAATTTCTACAAATCCTTACTTTCCTGAGTCTGGTGCCAAGCATTGCAAATGCCAAGCACGTTAATTGCCTTGCAGTTTGTGTCCATTTATTAGATAAACTCACCTGTTGGAAGGAGCTGATTGAAATAAAATGTTGCTTAATTGGCTCGATTATTTTTATTTTTTTTGGGGGGGGTGGAGGACAAGTAAGGGAGAAAGAGAATGGGTCTTGATTTTAATATCAGCAGAGACAAGAAGGAGCCATGTACCAGCTGCACATGTGAAGTAGTGTTTTCAAGATACCATTCTTCACTACATGTATGACAAGAACTCTTAACGCAGTGTAATGTAAAACAGAAATCTGCATAATTCTGTTCTTTGCTTGAATGTTGTTTTTTCTTTTCAGGTATATTTTAGATAATCCACGTGTTGTTAAAGGACGATCGGTTTTGGATCTTGGAAGCGGATGTGGAGCAACAGCAATAGCTGCTGTGATGAGTGGTGCATCGCAAGTCCTTGCTAATGACATTGACCCTAGTAAGGCCTTTTTTTCTTTTCATCTCTGTGTAAAGATACTAATTTTTAAAGCACATTTAACATAAACTCTTCTTTGCTCCACTGGGGAGAAATTCAGGTTCCAAAGAGTTCTGAGAATGCTAAAAGGATGAATGGATTTTGCCAGTATTGGAAGCTGGGTTGTACCTGCTTCTCGTGTTCCGAGAGACCTCCCTAGCTTCGTAGAATGAACAAACAGGAAAGTTCCTATTGAATGTACACTATTACAGCTGGGTTGGAGGAGAACTCCAAGCACAGGTGACAAGTTGGCTTCTCTGTAGGACCATAGCAATTTCCTGCCCTTTCACGTGTTCAGGCCTAGATTTTGCCTTTCTGCCTCACCCCCCATTTAGTTTTCCTATTATTGACTTACGAATTCAGTTTATTCATAATTTAGTTACACATTGGTTAGGGAGGAAGTACATCCATAGATTAAGTGTCCTGCAGTTGGATATTCTGATTCAATTCTGTGATTGGTTTCCATTGGTATCCATTCCAGGAATATTCTTTCCTATATCATGGTGCAGTGAGGATAGAATTCTATCACTTTATGCCAGATAATGAAAACTGTGGAAGTCCTAGATAGGATAAACAAAAATATTAAAGAGATGAAATTCAAAGATGTGTCAAGGAAACTTGTAAGGCGGGTGAATGTCAAAATCCAAAAATGTAACTTTCATTTTACTTTGTCTTTTCTTCAGTTGCAGGAATGGCAATGATCTTGAACTGTGAACTGAACCACCTGAATCCCTTCCCCATCACCATTAAGAACATCATAAACTCAGAGGCTGGCAACTGGGACCTCATTGTTCTAGGAGATATGTTTTACGATGAACAGCTTGCTGATGGTCTGCATCACTGGCTGAGGAAATGCATCAGGATCCAACAAACTGAAGTGCTGATTGGTGACCCTGGCAGGCATCAGTTTTTAAGCCACCGCATTCGCAGTCAGTTGCACAAAGTCATAGAATATTCACTTCCTGAGTATACTAGACAAGAGAACAATGGATTAACATCAAGTATCGTCTGGAGCTATCAGCCCTCAGATAGCTTGGAGAGCTGCTAAAGCTGCTTTCTAATGAATTCTGTCTCACTTGGCTGGTTTTTTTTTTTTTTTTTTTTTCCTGTAAGTAAGTGTGTAAAATGAAAATGGGAATTCAACGTGAAACGCATCTGTTGATGCAAAGTAGATTACTGTACCTTCTATGTCTTGATTTCAGTCGTACTCACTAAGGCTTTTGCTCCATTTGAGGTAAAAACTACATGCAAACTGTATTCAAAGGGGCCTGCTCTGAAGTGTAAATCCAAAGACAAGTGCCCTGAAAGAGTTTGCATGCTTGATGTTTTTCATGTACATTCATGTCTTGCTCTTTGACACTATTGTGAAATGCACTGGATGTCCAGCATATTGCTGTGGGGAAAAGGTGGTGGCTGAAGTACTACTGCACTGCTTTCACAGACTGCTTATTTACAGTGAAAATTATTGCTGTCCTTCATAAAACTCACCACTAAAGTATCAGCTCATACTGTGCTCAACTTAAAAGTGCCTTGCTCTTTTTCTGGGTATCTCTTCTGAATGTCAAAGTAACTTATTTGAATCTTTCCCCCCTCCCCTCTATAATAAAAACCTTTTTCTTCCTTGAAGCTGCCCCAGTGATTATTCAGGAGTTGCACACATCTGAAATATGCTTCTTGAACTCTAGCTAAAGTTGAAGCTTTTACTAAGTGGAAAGTGACTAAATAATGGCTATAGGGTAACTTTATCCCCTGGAAAGTAGGTCAAATGATCTACATTCTCTAACTTTGCAGGGGTAAAAAAAGGCACTCTCTTACCATGGGAAGCTAGTGAGGGTGAAGAAATCTTTCCTTCCTTGATGTTTCTGAACAGAAAGTAATTAACTAAAGCCAGGAACTAAAAAGTCAGGTAGAATTATTTTTTTTGTTCTCTTTGATGGCGAGATGAGATGCATCTCCTTCATCTTTGAGGAGATGCTGAACAAGAAGCCCAAGAATCATTCTCAACTCCGTCTGTCAAGGAAGAACACTCTGCAATGTTAAAACACGGGTCAGAGGTTGTAAATGCAGCCATTTGAAGAAGAACCAACATTTCAGAGAAGCTTTGCAGGAACTGTCACCTTCAGCAGTTAATTACTGGACAAGCAGTGATGGGGAACTAGTAACTGCAGTGGAACACTGTACCTACAGCTATCCAAATACCAGGTGATGTGGTGGAAGCTTATAAACATGAAAAAGTAGGTGGTACTTAGAAAACTATGGTGTTTATGAAGTAGGAGTTTTAGGAACACATTCAAGACGTACATGGTTACAAAATATAACTTAAGAAGTTTTCATAACTATCCAAACAGAAGATTTGTGAACTTTAATCTTCAGTACAGTACGTAAGTATTCTGCAGTGCTCACCCAACACCATACAACAGTAACAATATCCAAACACTATGGAATATGAAGTGATAAGTGTATCCTGGACTTTCTCCCACTTCACCCAATGCTTGTAAACACTTGTTGAAAATGACTGTGATTTAACTTGAATCAATAAATATTCCAATAGTTATGCTAGTAATAAACACATAAGCACAGAATCAAGCTCTGACACTGTAGGATTTAACATGACTTAGGTTAAACTTTCAAACCTAAAAATACATTGGTAATTCATTGCAGTGTTGTACAGATTTCTAAGCACAGGTGAGAATCTACCACTAAGTTATACATTTAGAAGAGGCAATAGGAGAAGATGGTAAACGTACATGCACATTTAAGGATACAACGTAAGCTGCATTTGCCTTCATGCCAAATCCAAACTTACATTAACAAGGGAAAAAGGACAACTTTGGCAGTGAGGTTAGCAGTAGCACCATCCCACAGATAGAACTTTTTTTAAACGTCCTTTGCTGTTAAAGATTTTGGTGCTTTTACACCTTTAGTTGCTTTACATCATCTCCATTTAGAATCTTCTTTCTGGATGTAGCACTTGAGAGCCTGGCAACAGTCACCACACTATGTTGTAGTTACACATCTTACAGTAACAGACTGAAGGAACGGGGCTTCTTCAGCTTGGAAAAGGCTTCAAGGGACCCATGAGCAACCTGCCCATACCTATAAGAAGGTTGGCAGGATGACAGCCAGGCTCTTCCAGTGAGAAAGGTTGTAACCAAAAGAGGGTCAAAACAGGATAAAAGGGAAAATCTTCCCACCATTAATACAGTCAAGCCATGGAACAAATTGCCTCAAAAGGTTGTGAAGGCTCTGTCATCTTCAGTTTTATAAGAACTGGGCTGGAAAAACCCCTAACTAAGCAGGTTTGAGTTCCAAGCTGGCCCTGCTTTGGGCAGGAAGTTAGGCTAGAAAACTTCAGAGGCCCCTTCCGACTTGAGTTAGCTCACAATTCTACTTACTCCTTTTGTAGTGCCTTTCCTGAAGCCAAGGGCTGGCAGCCTGATCCTTATGCTTTACTTATTTGACACAACTACTGAGCGTGTCATTGCTGCTGCCTAATCAGCTAGATTGATCAATATGAAAAATAGTGCAAAACAAATTTATTGCCAACTCATGTGCAGGACTTCAAAGAAATGATGGGCCCTGATACCAGGGATTCCACAGGGCAATCCAATAAACTACTCTTTAGCCAAGAAAGGGAATAAAATGTGGTAGATTAGGTTCTTAAGCCTCAATGTGATCCAAGGATTCACTGCAATTAGAGCCTTCAGATGTGAGCTGCTAATATAGCAAATCCGACTTCTGTTTGCAGGAATGGTTTGTACTAGTGCCACTATCCCTATAGGTATCAGGAATACATTCATCACTGGGCTGAGCCATGGCACTGCATGCAGCAGAAGCCAGGCCTAAATTTAGGCACTGGAGTTTGAAAATTATGCTTTCAGTTACATTTGAACAAATTTTCTACATGAACTTGCTCTTCCATAAACCATATAATCAACAGAAGAACAGAGATTATTGTCAGACATCATAATATGCTTTAATATTACTGGATGCAACATATATTATTATCTTCTGTGCAATTTCACCTGAATATTAAATAGGTTAGTAGAAGACTGGTTTATTTCTGCAACACTTCAAATAACTGTGGCTATGACAAGAGTTAAATTATAATGTAAACATATTCCTTATGGTTGCCTAAATTCATGGCTTCCTAAGTGTCATCAGATCCATGTTAAGACCACCCTAGCTAAACCCTGCTATGGTTGCCTAAATTCATGGCTTCCTAAGTGTCGTCAGATCCATGTTAAGACCACTCTAGCTAAACCCTGCTTCTTCCAGATGCAGAGTATCAACATAGTGTGCTACCTGCCCTGTATAATGCTAAAATTGCTAACATTTTTAAAAAGTTTAATGTAAAAAAAAAAAATCATAAAAGTGTCACTAGAGGTTATGCTGTTTCAAGAAAGCCAATGTACATGACTTATAATTGTGATGAGACTACTGCTTCATCATGTAATAAATTCATTTTACACTTCTAATGTTTTTTTCTTTACTATGACTACAACTGAACAATATATAAGTGGTTGTTATTTTCAGCTTCTGGGGCCCACTGGGAAGATAATAAACAGCACTCAGCAGAACACATACTCTGCTGAACTCTACAAGCCTGAGATTCATGTACTTGGGACATTCAATTCGGTCCTATTTCACTCACAGCAATGCTTATGAGGACCAGTATTTTGTTCCCTAGAAGGATTTTCATCAACTTAGGCGAAAGCCAGAGCACGTAAGTATTTGCCCATATACAAGAATTTTTTAATCAGTCATAGCTACTACTTTGTAATTTATTAAGTCACCTCAACAATTTCAAAGCAAGTTTATGTTTACGTGTTCACACATTGTAGTTTTTGATGTGTAAAAATCCAGCAAGTATTAGATGGTAAATAAGAACAGAAACCTACAAGCATCAGTAACATCAAAAGAAAGGTACCTAGTTTTAATTCCAGACCTAGCAAAATACATGGTGAAAGAAGACTGTTTCTTACTAAAAATACATTTGCCTTGCTGTTAATGTCACTTCCTGTCACCAGTTCTATCTGTTGACTTTTGTCAGATTACAGACCCGACCTTGCAGATGCTCCTGCAGAATGTTTGGGTTGGTACTTTTAGTTGCAACTACCCTCTCAGACTACAAACTCTGAACACAGACTTACTTAAATTGGGTTTGTATATATAACTACGATGGTAAAAGATGCAAAGTAGTAGCCAAATCTCATACTGGAAGGAGGATGAGTGATGATAATGTAATATTAATTATAGTTTAACTTTACTCTCACTGAAGTACGATTAGCAATGCAAAGACAGACATGGCTTTAAGCACAGACAATGGGGAAGCCCAGACTCACAGGCAAGGACCGGAATGGCGATGGAGACCTCTGGTGGGAACAAGGAGGGAAGCAATGTGGTCCAAAAGTCACCAAGGCGCTATTTCTCCAAGGTGCTTGTTTTCTGAAAGAGCTCTCCCAGCTGTAAACTTTACACTCATACGTACATGATAAATAATCAGTAAACAGTCCATGTTACTTGTTTAATTTTGTTTGATATGACCAGCTGTTCTAAAACTTCTCGGGAACGATCTGCAAAAGAACCAAGGAATTCCTTGTTATTCATTCAGAATATACATAGGTGGTGTTTAGAAATTAGGTTAACAGCAAAAGAATTCCATTTTATATCTGCATTTATGCTTATTATTGTACTTTGCTATTACAATGTCACACTTCGGATATACCTGTAGTAATTCAAAACTACTCAATTTTTTTCTCTAGTCACATAACTGCAACATGTCACCAACCAACGAAACTTAAGAACCCAAGACTTATCATAACCTCTCTTAAATTTGTTTTAGGCTGATCAGTCCTTCTTCATTCCACTGTTCCTAGAATGGATGCTGTTGGATACTAATGGAATAGGGGAGGGTTTTAAGATGCTAACAGATTTTCTGAAGTCTTATCATCAACTTAGGGTCTTCACCAGCATGTTGGGCTAGGGGGGAAGAAAATTAAAAAAATTCAAACTCAAAACCAACAGCAACAAAATTCCTCTCTGATGGTTGTCATATATCAAAGCAAAACTGTCACTTTGCTTTGAAAAACCTCATTGTATGATTATTATTTTACCTAGCCAGTTATTATTTGTTTCAGATTATTTACAAATTATAGCGTGCGTTTCCAGAGAGCAAGAAGATACTATCAGGCAGTAATTACTCTTCTTACTCTCTGCATGATTTGACCTACCTGTTATCAAAGGGCATCCATGGAACAGAAAAATGTGTATCTTCGGACAACAAGTAAGGACTGCTTCCACAGCGACATCAGTCAGATTCACACAGCGTTCCATGTGGATCTCCTGTTATGAAAACAGTAGTTACAAAAGCCTGTCAAGAGTACTCATCATTTTGGAGACAGAGCTTTCCTTTGCCCAACCATTTTCAGAGATCCCCAGCTAGAAGAAATCATGATCTACTACGCCTCTTATGAACACTATCTGCATAGCCTGAGGGTTGTTTAGAACAGCTGAAATCAATGTTTTGCTACAGCTAAAGGTATAACCAGCTAAAAGACATTTTCAAGTCAATTCTAATATATAAAAAAATATCTCATTGCTATTGTCTGAAAGATAATTTCATCTTGTACCACATCACTTACAAAGACTAGAATCAAGACTAAAAAGATTGTCCGAAATCGACAAAATTAGCTGGAAAAAAACCCAAACCCAAATGTGTTTGCCCTCCAAATAAAACAGTAGCAGTTCTATTTTTACCAAGTTATTAACACTGTCAGTTGACCCAGATTTGGTATTTTGTTTGGGGTTGGTTTTCTTTATCAAACACTATAAACTAGCACAAGTATGACTTGTTTCCTGTCTTAGCTTCTAGACATAGCTTGGATTTAGAACCACTCTTACAAAAGCAAACACACACAGAGATAAGAAATGTACTACATAGAAAAGCAGAAGATCATTTATGGTAAGAGGTATGGGATGCCTCTTCAACATTTTATCACTGTCTCAGTGTCCAGAGAATCTTTACACAAAGACAACTTCATTTTCACAGCTGCTTTCATGAATTAGAGATTTATCTATGCAGACTTGCTAACTGATTTCTTGTATCTGTGAAATTATTCACATTACAAATTCTGCCTCGGTGTTCAACAGAATCAAGAAATAACCGCACAGAAATCAAGGGAAAAAGTTAAGCGTTCATTTGCATGTATTATATAGCTCTCTGAAAGAATGCGAGTTAAAATAAGAATACTACATTAAACAGAAGAAAACCCATTTTGAAAAGACTGAGCTTCTCAAAAAGCTGGTCTGGGGCACTGCTACAGAGAGACAGAGGTTGAAAATAATTCATAACCAAGATCAGGCCAAGTGTGTACACAAAGGCAAATGTCAGTCAAAAAGAACCATCCTTCAGAAGTAATACTGATAATTTTAAAATGCAGGTAATTGCTGTAGTTAATTTCTTTGTTATTAGGTTACCTTTAAATTCTTTGAACATGTTCCACTCACTAGTGCTACAACGCCATCATCTGTTACCTAGAGAAAAAAAACACGTTGCTATTAATGAAGCAGATTAAAGCTCCATTTTTTCCAAACACAGCTATTTGGGGGGTGGAGAAATGTTATTAATTCATTCACTCCCTGCAGTCACTGAATACACTTAACATAACAGCATTTTCTTCCCATCTAAGCTTGTAGAGAAAATTATCCAAGTATGGTTTTTTCAGTCTGTTACCCACTGTTGCATTATACTGCTGTGTGATCCAGCCTGGCTTTCTAACCAGATGTTTCCAACTGTGACACTGCTGTTCCTGCAGCTTCCTTGCCTCACTGAACAGTGGCTACACTATTATGGTCAGAGCATAGCAGTTTTTAATTTCTTAAGGCTTAAAGCACTTCTGCTCTACCTAGACTAATTTTTCTCCTGTTCTCAGGACTGCTGCAAATGTTAATTGAAGGAAGCTTCTTGGATTGGAAAAAATGACAAAAAAATAATCACAGGAGTCTTTTATCTGCTGTCTTAATTATCTGAATCAAAACAGTTACACAAGAAAAAAATCCCTCGAACAAGAAGCCTTACAGCAGTCATCATGAGCTTGCTCCAAAAGTTTTATCAAAGTGATTGAAGCAATGATTACCTGCAAGAGAGAGGAGAAGACAAAAGACATTTCTTTCCTTGGAAAGGCAATAAACACCAATTTATTTGTCTGCTTCCCGGAACCAAATTCATTAAACTTTGTCCTCACTTCAAAAGCTGGACTGGGTATCAGATCCATCACACAGGGTATTTTCACAGAGCTTATATTAGATGGCAGGAACAGTAGTCATCAAATACACACAGTAAGACTCAGTCAGATTGGACAGCTAGAATCCAGAGACCACAAGCTCAATTTCTCTTTAAAGGTTTGATTATTCCTGTTGCTTCAATTGCCTTCTGGCCCCCTACTGCAAGTCTACGGTACAAAACTGTAACAGAAAGGGTCAGATCAGTGCAAATGGAAAATGGGCAGGAATGTCCCAGTATGGAGGCATATAAAGGTCTGTAAGAATGGCAGGTATTGTCATTCCATCGTAGCAGGTCATCAAGATGACAGCACATTTAGCTCAAGGCACCCAGACCAGGAGACAAAGGGCAGTGAATGAATAAATTCTAGTAATTCCCACAGGTGGGACAGAATGGAGAGAGTAATTACTGTCAGTTCTTAAAGGGTATAAAATGACACATCCAAAACCAATGGTCACCAATCTAAGACCAACCTGAATACCTCCATGTCATCAAAACAAACCTAGACCAGACTGAACACTGGAGAGACCATCTGAATGCTACTGTCTTGTTGCTTGTGGGTATATGGTTATGACAGCATGAGAGCATGAAACCAGTTCTGTATTAAAACAAAGTCCCCTCCCTTCCCTGCACCACTTCCATACCTTCTACTTACTGTACTTCAGCTCTGCAGGCACCAGGTGAGACCTATTTTAAAAATGGCTAAATCACTTTGAGGCATTTGGCCCCTTTGTGGTCTAGCTCAGATCTGCTTCCTTGTTCCTACAAGTGAGCTGTGTCCTCCTTTGCCTGTTCATTTATTTCCAATGTTCTCGCTATCTTACTCTTTCACACAGCTTTGCCAGTTATACTTGATACTTTCACTATGCATTCTGGCACTCAAACACAAGAATATGGTAAGGCCTTGCAATCTCTACAGGCATGCGCCAACCATAGTTTCTCTGCTTCATCTTACACTTATTTCATTTATATCTAGTATATGCTTCTGTTTATTTTCAGTCAAATAAAATTCAGAATTCTAGTGTATTATCATGATATCGTTATCAGAAAGGAATTAAAAAATGTGGAAACGTTTAGTTACTCAAGAAGCTTTCATCTCATTTAAAACATGGAAAATGGGGAAACTTAATTATTTCCTAGAAAGGAGACGAAAGGCAAGGGAACAAAAAAGTAATGAACAAAGTTTGAAGAAATAGAGTTAAATGTTAATAATAAAAATTACCAAGGAAAAGATTAAAATTACTTTTGATGCCCTACTTCTGCAAAACCAGAGAGAATAGCATCTAAAATAAGAACCTGCTACATGTTTTCCAAATCTGACACTTCATTACAAATTCTCTGTTTGCCTCACATTCAACATAATCACTCCCCATCACAGTCAATCAGATGCTTACAGCAAATAATCCTTTCCCTCACTTCATTATCTTACTGTAATTATAAAGCATGTTACAGCATTGCTGTTGTAGCTGAGCTCCTCTTCTCATGCTAAATACTGTTGTTCTCTTACCTGCCCTTTCTGACATTTTAAATGTCATTCTTTCCATATTGACTCCATAACTCTGACAAGCCATTCAGAAAGCACAGTCACTCTTGAACTAGAACTAATTACAGTGTTTACTTCTACTAGGGGCTTTTATTGTTTGATATCTTGTATTATTATTATTCAGGTCAGTTTGTTCTAACTGAAAGCAGACGATAATCTGTCCAAGATTCTACTTTCTTTAAATGAAATATTTTGCATTACTTTACAACTAGAAGAAAACTATTGAACTCAATAAAGATACTGGGGAAAAAAAAATCTCCACTATTAGGCTGATTCTCATAAAAGTTTATGTTTGGTCCACAATACATGCTGTAATATCAAAATGCATTTTTTTCTGGTTACCAAGATGCAAACTGTATCTTTCTTATTCCTTGAAAAGAGGAAATTGGAAGGACCTGTGGTCCTAAATCTTGTCAAGAGTAGAACTAAAAAGATCCCTTTTCAATTTTATCATGACAGTCCTACAAAATAAACAAATAGAAGTCAACTGGCCAATTGCCACCATAGCTACCTGAGTAGATGAGAAATCCACACTGTGAAGAAACTTGCAGTTTTCTCCTAGTGCTTGCAGAGATGCATCCATGATGCCTGAACAACTGCCCAAGTTCACTATTTGTAGGAACCGGCAGTTGAGCGCAAGAGCAAGGACTCCACTGTCAGTTATATCACAGCACCTTTTAAAAGACGCTTCACGCAAGTAAGGACAGGATAAGGCCAGTGCTATGACACCTGTCAGAGAAACAGAGCAATTGAAAGAATTACTCGTTTTTTTACATAACCACCATGCTGAATCCAATATACTGTCCTCTGGCCATTGACTGTTCAACTTTCATCTCACGCCATGCAAGGAGAACTCAGTTTTGTGGCTGGTTTCTTTTAACTCAAGGATGAGAAAAAGAAAATGACCATGAACAATGCCAGAGTTGATTAAAATTTCTGAATACTGAATTCCCTTCTATAGTGCAGAGGAATGCCTGAGAGATCTTACATACATGATGTATCACCTTAGTGAGTGCACAAAAAAAGGCCAGTGGCTCAAAAGCAGACTAATGATTGTGTCAGGTCCCAGTGATGGTGCAGTGAATATTATGTAAAAAGTGAGGTGAGAGGTCATGTCCAAGGTCAATTCAAGAAATCAAAACAATAGTACAGAAGCATGACAGGAACCAGGTACACCTATGACATGGCTGAGGCCAGGACTTGAAAGTCCATGGGCAGCTAGTGTAGATGAGACTAGTCATGGCCATTAGGGTCTGTTGGTGCTCTAAGAGCCTGGACAGTCAGTAATAACCAAAATACTGGTAGTCAGTAAAAGTACATGAACTGCAGATGCAATTCATGAAAGGAATTTTTATTGCAAGGATGATAAAAACATGGTAATTACAGCGGGACCGAAAAATAAATCACTTCTGGATAGATAGAAATAAACAGCTGAATATCATTAGGATATGTTACTATGCAAGAACTTCAAAGAAGCATTGATGAAATAGCACACACTTGGGCCAGAACCACTTTGCAAAGAATGATAGAACAGACAATAGTGGTAGTTCAATTTGACAGAGAAGTACTGCTAGAAAAAGGTGAAATTTTGTGATGGAATGGTCATATAGAATATTAAAAGTGATTATATTTGAGAATCCATAGATTAATAGAAGGTCTTTATATACATATATATATATTAAGATGTTATAACCTTGCTGGTTTATATCTCAGTAACCTTAGCAATAGAAACTAACATGACCATATATGGCAAAAAGAATTTAGGAAACTATGTACCATGGGGCTGGATATAGGAAGGAGTGTACTGTGGAGATCTACCCGGGCAGCACTAAGGATTATCAGAAGTAACTAAGTAAAGATAAGAGAATGCTGCATCCACATAACAGTTGGAGCCCCTCCAAAGAGAGAAAAGGTGAAAAGGACAGTGCAGGGAAGACTACTTTCTTCATCGGAACGACCACCGGACGACCACCAGAGGGGGCTGCGCAAGCGCAAGAGAGGCTGATGTCCTAATGGAATTTCCTAATAAATATGTATTAGCGGGCGTAGCTACCTATATCGAACATGTATAAATTGTAAAACGTGCTGTAACAAGGGGGAATCAGATTTGGGTGCATACCCCTGATTCCTGGCGCGTCAATAAAGCACCTCATATAACCATTCCAGTGGTTATGTGTTTGTCTCAACGCTAACAGTACCACTGGATATTGTGTTACAATTGTATGTGCAACCTCCAGAGCAAATGTTTTCTAGTAATGACAGGGCTCAGATATTTCTACATGTGGTAGGCAACAGGATTCTTAAGACAAACAAAAAAGCCCCACTCAACACACCTCTAGTACTGATTTGGTAAAAGGTAATGCTGCTTTAAAGTGGGGTGGTTTTGAGTCTTTTTTTTTTCCTATGAAAATTGAGATGAGTGAGAAAGAACTGTTCCAGCTTAAATTAAAGGCTTCAAAACTGATTCTCAATTTACAAAGGACTCAAAAGGAGAGTTAATGAAGTTTGGTGGACTAGGAACTTGCCAATAAAGAACTAGACTTCAGTTCCAATTGCAAAGTGATCAGGAACCTCTACTCAAACAGATGAAAAATATACATAAAGAGCTTTAGGCTTAGCTGGTACCTTAAGCACCATACTAAAAACCAGTGGACCGATGAGGCCATGGACGAAGACCATTGCTAGCTGTATCTTAGGGGTCAAAAAGTATAACAATGAGATGACATCAAAAATCAATAAAATCCATTTTTAAAAGTTTAACCACTTAAAAAAAAAGTGTACCACCTTGCAGTGGTAAGAAAATACAAACCAGGACTGATTTAAAGTATGGTATACATTAGCTCAATACTAAATGAGTATTTTGCCTTGATTTTCAATAAGGATGACTAAATGATGGAGCAAACGAGTAAGTGTAATCAAAAGACAAAACAAAACTTGTGGGCAATAGCACTCAGCAAGCTTAATTCTTTTAAGCTAATAGCTCCTGATACTTTTAACCTCCAGTTTCAAGTTGTAACACCTGAAATCCTACAGTCCTAAAGCAGGTCACGTCTTTTAAGTCAGAGAAGATACTATAAGCTTATTTAATAACAAATACGTTTGATGAAACTTCAACCCCAGTGGTACTGGTAAGGCTCTGGAACAAGTTCTGAGGAAGGAATAATTATGATGAAGTGGAACAGATTATCAAATGTAGCAGTTTTACCAGAAAACTAGCATGAGAGTAACATGATAGCTCTCTTTTGTAAGCTAATCAGTGTTCTAGGCCTATAACTTACACAACTGAAGTGACTTTTAATTAGTATTGGTGTGACACTGGGGACTTTTTTACGTAACATTTACCCAAGATATTTTTTTGCAATTTACTCCAATCTAACAAGAAAAATAAAACAGAATTAACCCGTGCACAGACAACATACCTTCTGAAGTGATTCCCAATCTGTTTTCTCTGCAAGAGTTTAAGTTGATTTTTTTCAGTTGCTTGCAGTTATGAAGCTGCAGTAACGCATTATCTGAAATATCACAGTCTCGGAGGTCTAGAGACTCTACAGCAGGGTGCAATACCTGTAACGAAAAGCTACCATTTCGGTCAAACTCTGCTATGTCATAGAACATACCTACTTTTATCTAAAATACTTGTAAGGATAGACATCACATAGAACTTTTAAAAAATATTCACTAGAGGATAGGATTACCAGTTCTAGGAACTAAGAATTCTAAAGAAAATATGGTATATTTGCCACAACTGTTCATCTCCTACAGCATGAAGGCTCAGTTTCTGTGATCAGATGTAAAGTAGGAGCACATTAACACTACTATTTAAACAGTGGAAATACTGTTTTGATGGTGCAGTTGCTAACACTAGTGCTTCTGCTAGCTCATCTATGTTTACCAAGGATAACACCATCAAACTTACACCACTTTGATGGTAGTGATCTGAAGTGTAAAAATATACTGACGGTGATCAAAACTTGAATCTGCTGAACAGAGAAGGGTAATAGTTGAAAGATATTTTGCCCTGGAGTATTTTTCTCATGTACACACAGGCTCTTCTTCTCATAAACAAGCAATCCCATTATCATACCATGAGGAGGTACCAAATCCTCATTAAATAGACTGTTTTACTCCCACAAGACTGTAGGTTGGAGTTTTTGTGAAATCTTCCCCAAGAGGACATTTATGAAATTTAGACCCAAAGCAATGGAAACCCTCAGATTTTAGTAACAATAGCAACATATATCACCTCTAATTTAATTTTCAAGGATTCTCACTACTTTTAAATAAATACTGTTCATAGCTCCTTCTTGTGCAAACAATCTATACCTTCACTGAGCTGCCCTTCAGAACAACATGCAAGCATTAAATCAGATTTTCACATCACTTTATATTACTCCCTTCAGCTTGCCATTGCCTTCCTTAACAAGGATAAAAGCATACAGTAAATTTCCATACATAAGTGAAGGTAACAGCATAGGTGACAGGCTTGTTAAAGGCCTATTTCTTTCTCAGGTTCACCCTTCTAAGAGGCACAGTAAAGATATTACAAGGAATACTTATCTTCTGTACTGCAAATACATAAGGTGCTAAAATCTTTACTGACAAAGTAAAATAAGTCTTGTGAAAAACAAGCAAAACTTTCTAATAGATTATAATTCTAACTTTTCTGCAAAAATGAATGGCAGAGCTCAGACAGCTTTGACAGCTAATATCTAATATGTCTCAAAGAAAATTGAACTTTTAGATAGAGTAAGGATTGTTTGGATGCAGAGGTCAGGAGATTGAAGTATAGATTTATATCCTGTGGACACACGCTGAATGGCTTTATAGATCTTTATGGTAAAAGTGAGTTGGAGTAAGGAGTTTTGCATGTGTATCATGAAAGGCTGCTCCAAGGAAAAAAAGAACAGGGAGGCAGAGATGAAATACAAGTTTATGCATAAGTGCAAGTTAACAGAATTTCAACTGGAAGAACTTTAACTTTAGGCAAAATGCTTAAACAACACCATAGAAATGACATACATAAAACCAAATGAGATAACACAACCTCGAAAATTCCAAGAGAATACATCGAGCAACAATACCATGAAGACTATGAAAGAAAAGGTCAGGACAGAAGTAACAGCAAAGAAAGAAAATTCCTTATCTGTATGGATGACTAATTTAAATGGTGCAAACATGTCACATGTAAAAGACTTCAGTTATACATGATGTGAGCAAGGGACAGTAAGAAGAGCTAATTAACATAAACCATTTTTGCTAGGCTATGCAACAAGAATATCTGCAAGATGAAAGAACAGGAAAATTGCAGAGCAAATTGGTGTGAAGAAATGCTATGAGTTCAGAATCCAGTGGCCAGTGTCTTTTTAAACATACAAGTGAAATAAACCTGGAAACTGCTAGCAGAGAGCTAAGGTGTACATGCCCAAGGAAAGGGATGACAGCTTAAGGATGTAATTACAGTAAACTGCAGGAACAGAGAAAGCAAAAACACATGAGAAAAGCAACTAGAACAGAATATCCCAGTGTCAGATCGAAAACAGGCTCCCAAAGAAGGCACAGCTGAATGATGACAAACATGAGATTTTACAGACAGAGGAAAAGGCTGTATCTTAAACTCTCCAGTTTATTTCAACACTAAAGATATCCTAATAAGTTTTGAACATTTATACATACACAATCATATGGGTTTAATTATATACATCTCTTAGCATGCTTAGAAAGGATTATTTACTGAAAAGATAGCCTAAACCAAATTATGTCAACTCAAATTTTCCAAAATAAGATAAATGAATGAGACTCTGATTTTTACTCAGAGACTTATTTTGTACAATCAAAAAACAGTGTGTACTAAAGAAAAAATTTCTTGTTCGTAAGTTTTCTACAGTACTTCTGATTTTGCCTCTAGTCTTGGCTTCACTATTCTGACTCTGAGAAACTGATATTACTTGCCTCTTCCAAGTTACAGGTCAAAGTAGGAATGAACAGGGAGTTATTAATTTTCTGTTTCACTAAGGCCAACCTTTAGCTTTCCCCAATTCTCTCACCTCCCTTTGAAGCTAAACAAGAGACCAGTAGATAGATACCAAAATAGATGTGCCCCTGAATTTACAGCTAAAAAAAAAGTCATTAACTGGTTTCATTTTGAAAAACTGGCACACATCAGTGAGCAAAAGGGATGAGAGAATTTGACTGTCAATTTCCAACCCTACAATCATCATATAATTTATTTAAATCTTGATTCTTTGAAATATGGAGAACATGTGCATAATGTCAATAGAACATAACAGAAATCTAACAAGTTCTTGAAATCTTTTCATTACTAAATTATGAACTAGCTTCTTGAAACACACTACATTCAGGAACAGAGACTGGTTTGCAACAGTCTGGTTTCCTATACTGAAAAGGGATGATATACATCACTGAACAGAGAATAATTTTAATTTATTTATCACTACAAATATAATCTCATTACTACTAATAAAGGTGTATTAACATTATGAAGTTTAAGAAAAAACCTGTAGAGACATAGAGTAAACAGGCCTGAATTTATCTGTTGTTTAATGTAAAGTTTTAGTTTAGTTCTTCCTTGTGTATTAACTAGCACGGACAGTATAGTTTTGAATGGGTTCTTACCTCACTGATATTTGAATCAGTTATTTGTCCTTGCCTACTCATTAATTTAATCAGTTTATCCTTTACGTTGGGTGGCAATGACTTAATATCTGCAGCATATCTGGGAAGGTTCTTTGTCAAACACTGAAGGCATCTGAAATAAAAGAAAGTTACAGTATAGTCAAAAATAGGCATTACATATTAGAATTATATCAATCAAGCCATAAGATGTCATCTTCTGCATCTGACTATGCTGCCTTCAAACCTTATCAGTTCCAGCTGTTCCATGTTACCACCAATTCAGCTGTTGCCATTTGGGGTCAATCAGCTGATCCTTCTGTGGCAAGTGTTCCCCAATCAACTCTAGGCATAAATTAGCCTCATTCACCACAATCATTAACCCAGCTCATGAAATGAGTTTGTTGTTCATACATTCACAAGCTCTAAGAAAAGCCTTTTTATCAGCAAAGCCTCCACTCGGTAGGCAGTAAATCTTCAGTTAGGACAGCTAGTTCCAGAGAAGGAACAATTATCTTTCACCTCAGTTAAAAACATAAGGAGATACTTTCAGATGTAGTATTTTAATCACTGCCTAGTTTGTAGCACTTTTTTAATACGAATTGTGCTGTGTAACCTTGTGCCCAACTCTTTTAACTTTGTGCTTAAAACTAGATATGATAACAGAGGTTTGTCACTTGAGACAGAAATTTTTCTATCTTAGTATTATCTTTACTATTTTTGTATGAATAAATCATGAAACTGTGAGGTCACAGAAACAGTACTGCCAGAACAAGTGGCTGAGGGCAGGGGGCAGCAGCAGCCTAGAGTTAAATCAAATGAGATTTAGCATATAGCCACAACTCTGGAGTCCCAGTTGACAACTTCTTTTGCAACAGAACCTTGTCTGGCACCAGACTGCCACCAAATCACAACAAATGAAATTCATATCAATTAAAAACTCTCGAGAGGTTAAAATATTAAGGCTCTACAATCTAAAGTGTGGCACAGATTTAAGCAAGGAAAGAAGCAAGATTTCCAGTGTGGAAGCACATTTAAAAAACCACTTAAGTTAGCATAGTGCAACAATGGTACCTCTAGCAGGTCACTGCAGAAGACACTAACTTGGAGACAGTGACTTCAAGCTGAATCTGGGCAGCGTTTAAGCACAGGCCTTGCCTGCAGTGTATCAGCATGAGTTGCTGTTATATAACCTAAGCACACACGATTGTCTTCAACTTGTTCCCCTGGAGATGGGCAAGATTGCAATACCTTCACCAAACTATGCTGACTGCTGGATGAACTTGCCTGACGTAAGGAGAAGCCTGTACATGGCTCCGAGTCAATGCATGTCCAAGCAAGTCACACCACCCACATTCTTTGTCTTGAGATTAAACAGCATACCTACATGTAACTTTCCTTTGCTTAACTGCAGAAATGAACAGTTGTTTACTTCCTATAAGAAAATCTTATCACAGCTCTAAAGACTGCAGCAAGTGTGACCCTCACCCTAGATGGGATCTCTGCAGCATGCTGCTCGGTGTGAGGGGGCTTGTCTCATGCCGCAATAGCCAGAGTCCCCAGTGTCAGAAGGGACAGCAGATTGCTGTCATGTTTTCTTACTACTATCCTTTATGCAATAAACCAGTTAACTAGCCTTGAAAACCCACACCTTTCCTACTAAGATCCCAAATGAACCAGCACCTGTCTTTGGCTAGGGTGAGTCAAACAGTCTTTCTGAGCCTTTTGAGGGGCTATATGTGCACCTTCCATGTGGCTGTTCCCTCTTGTATGACAGATGCCATGCGAATGAGCAAGCAGTCCTCCGTCATACAAGGGCACATGCTTCAGTTATGTGCTAAATACATATTTATCATATGACACTACATTTCACTGGGTAAATGAACTTCTTTGTCAATTCATCCTGAAGGAGGCTGACTGTCATAGAATCATAGAATGGTTTGGGTTGGAAGGGACCTGAAAGATCATCTAGTTCCAATCCCCTGCCATGGGCAGGCACACTTTCCACCAGACCAGGTTGCTCAAAGCCCTGTCCAACGTGTCCTTGAACTCTTCAAAGGATAGCACATCCACAGCTTCTCCGGGCAACCTGTTCCAGTGGCTCACCACTCTGCTGGCTAAGGCTGGCAATCTAAAACCCACCACTAGCACCAATGCTCTGGCACTGTACGATTTTGCAAATGTTAAGATAGAGCAGTCGTGACAAGTCACTTCCAAAAAGTCTTTTCCATTAAAATACTAGTAAGATTTTAAGACTAGTGAGACAACCCTGTTGTCAGGATTGAGAAGTAAAGTATTTTCAGTATCTGAAGCTTTTTTAAAGCATATACATATGAATCCATATACACGTCCACATGGGCTTGCAAGTGGTAGATTCAGGAATCATGA